ATTGAAACGGTGTGCTTGAGCATTAATTATTATCGTGATACATTTAAGGGATCAAACACCCACATTGCTTTTTTTGTTGTGATCACTGAGAACGAACCAGCGTTGATAATTGGTTCAAAACTGAGCCCTGTCTTCTGCGACGATAAGTCATGAGGTACAAATGGGTTGCAAAAGGAGCGATGCATATCTGAATATATGTCCATAGTTTCTGCCGGAGTTCCCGTGAAATTGCTTTTCCTGACAAGATCCTCCAAGAAGTTTGTGGAGGAAAGTGTCAGCTTAAAAACCTTTAATTTTTTTCTAACAAACTTTCACTTGATCTAGAAATTTCCACATATTTTTCATCGCTGTCTTCATCCTTCAAAAGAGCAATAGCTCGGTAAAAACAATTTCCATCTCCCCCGATAACGGCGTATCTCTTTTAAGGAGGTATATCTCAGACGTCGTAATTTGTCTATTTATTTCGTTAAAAAGTATGAAAACGGGAAATAGATACATGTACATAAATATATCTATATATCTGTATAACAGAAAAATCTTAAATTAGTTATTTCCCAGCGATTTAAAGCTAATTTTGTAATATTTCGTGACCATTACGCGGTGACGATTTCATATTAGACCTTACGAAAGGAGAGAGGTATATCGGTATATTTTATAACTTATTTCGTGGTAGTTTTAACAAAAACTTAAACTTCCCTCGTATTCGCGGAGAGTGAGAAAAGAACCAAGAGTAGTGAGTAAAGACAGACGCATCCTCCTGAAACTTGTCACTCTTAAGAAAGATATGTGTGACTGTCACACAACAGTATTTGGTGGCCTGATAATGTCGCTACACTTTTCATCTTCAGAGTGCACGTGTCTTTAATTTTTAAGAATGTACATAACCTACACTTTCGACTGTTACGCCGATCAAGTCTTAAGTGAAATTATTATGGTCGTTTAGTCCAGATGTAATGATTTGTGACCAAGTTACAGAAGAAAAACTCCCGTTATGTGAACTGGAGTGCAAGACGCCCGTGCTTCGGCACTTGATCCTTCGATTAACGAACGGAAATGCGTATGTTTTGAGACAACATGATTCACTCTACATTCTTAAAGGCTAAGAATTACTGATATTTACAATTCACGATCGAATGAAGGTGAGTTTAGAGGGGAGTTTGCGAAACTGTATACTTCCAACCTTCACACAGAGTATTCTGATTTCCACAACAGTATTTACTATTTCAAATTTGGCTATCAATCAGTCAGCAAAAAGGATGAAAAACGTGTCAACCTAATCAGTGAACTTATCTAATCAGTGAACTTACCTACTGATCTTTTTCTTGTCTATAGAGAGCCAGAGTATGAAGTTGCAAATAAGTGCTGAGGTTTTTCCTGTTCTTGTTTGATTTTTGTTTTATCCCGGGATGATTAGGGCGCCTTTCAAGACGGCTGAAAAATGTCGTGAACGTTTAGGCAGGAACTGTGAAAATGAAACGACTTGGACATGATCCAGTTACATGGGGGTTACTCTGGGAAGGCGGATGTTCTTGACAGTTCTTTCATCGATTCACTTTTTAACAAGAATTGAATTAAAACTTATGTCAACATACCAACAATGAAAATATGAAAATTAGCCCACATTGTGAATCACCTTTACAACTCTTAAAGGTCTCGTGAATTATTGTGTTTTGGCGCATGTCTCAATAAAACCCACAAAAGCCCTCAATGGGATAAAGAGGTGGAATTAAGTCATGGCAAGCGATTATAAACTCAGAGACTGTATCCCACTTACATAGCCCTATTCCAATGATCATTTTCTAAATTCTAATTTTTAATGTGCGTTCCTGCGGTGCGACTATTTTGAGAACAACATTTGATTGGTTATTGGTTCTTTGATGAAGTTATAATGTGAGATGTTTGGCGGCGAGCAGTTTGTGTTCATTATGATGACATTTTTTGGTCAAGACGATAAAAACATAAGCTGGAAAAGCGTACCTTAGAAGCCTGAGTTTCGTCAGAGAACTCGAACGGACGAACTGAATATCTTACAATAGTTGATTCAGGTAAATAACCTAACAGATTATCGGTTAAGTGGCAATAGCGATTTCAAGTGCAATACAATAGTTTTTAATCTCTTCATAAAGGCTAACGAACAAAAATGGGACGTAAAGGCAGATCAGAGTCACATATGAACCAAAGTGAAGAAAAAAATGGCTGAATTACTAAATCCGATTTTATGGAGTGAGCGTTATGGAGTTTTGAGCGACTGAAAATATATGAGGAGCAGGGTAAAGAAAATCATACTTGATTAACCCATCATGACTCAAAGGAATTATTTATAAGGAGCTAAAAAAGTCGGGCGGTCGTAAAGCAAAGATACGGCACTTAAGTGGTAATAATTATACTTCAGAAAACCACAACAGACTTGCTTTTAAATGTATGGAATTATTACATGTTAAATTAACTTTAAATTAACTTTAAATTAACTTTAAACGGCCACACAATCCTTCGTCTCTTTTCATGCTATGCAAAGACGTGAGTATAATAAATGTCAGCCTGAGCATAGTCTATCTATAAAGAGTTAATGGTCTAGCCTTCGAAACGTGGTTGATATAAATCAAGGCGGCGGAGCAACACGTCCAGCCTTATCACACAAAACTTTCACAAAACTTAGATCGTTCCTTGATGAGGTTAAAATAGAACTTGAATAGAAATTGAATTGGGAATTTTTCTTTCCTTGTAGTGAAGGCCTTTAAGAACGGTGATGGGGCGATGATCTGTCCGGCTTTTACCCGTGAGAATTGAAGCCCCAAAAGTGTAGCTTTCTGTGTCCAAAAGCACAGGAGTGTCTCCCCTCCCCCGTAATGGATGATTTTTGATTGTGAAAGTTCGATTTGCGCTCATTCATAACTTTAAATGATAATCCTTAGAATTATTTCGCTGCTGTTAAAAACTCATAAAACTTCCTCCTCGCTTGAACCTGCGAACTAATACTACGTCAAGAGATTAAAAAACACCCAGTCATGTTTCACACAATCTAATTTATTTGGTGCTTGCTTCACAACCCTGGTTCCAAAGAACTCGTTCTTTTAAAGTCAATTACATTTGAATTTATTAGATAACGTGCTGCGTCACGCTTTTCAGTTATCAAACCACAGTACATTCTCGTCACGTACCTATTCATTCAGAGGATCTCCAATTAAGGTGCTCGACTCTTTATTTTCTTTGCTTGCACAACTTCGTCTGATTGGGTACCAGCCCTCCTTTTCTCAGGTATATTCCTTCTACGCGCACAAGCGTCCGCCCACAGGTTCAATAATTCGATGTCCTCAATGTCTTCAATAAACTCGTCAATGTAGAGGTCATTGAACGTTAGACTCATCAGGGTGATACACCGGTCTAACTCTTTTGAAAAAGCATTCTGGGACTTGCCGTGGGTTCTTTTGCTGTTACAGATGTCCTTGTTGTTGTTTTCGTTTTTCCAATGCACCCTTTTCTTCCTGTTGCTGTCCAGTCCCTTATGAGATGATTTCCCATCTCCTATGCAAAGCAGAGTCTCCTTGATTTTCCTTATCATAAACCTCCCGAGGCTAAATCGTCCTTTGGAGAACTGCGTAGCGGTTCGGTAATCATAAATAAGAATGGCGATAAAGATGTTAACCCATATCACTTGCAGACACATGTTGAAACTTATGAAGAAAAGAGGACCTATGACATCATGACAATCTTGAAGATATTCAGTCCTGACGCTTAAAACTCCCTGGATGAGAAGGGACTGGAAAGCACTAGAGAGCGAGGAATACTCCTCCACCTCCCTTCCAAATTGAATGAATCCAAAATGAGTAAAGGCGAACATGAAGACGTAGAATCCTATTGAGCAGTTTACGAGTTCCAGGAAAGACGCCTTCGTGACATCAGACAAACGTTTAACATGACTATTAAATCTGAGCAAATACAGCAACTTCCAAGTGTTGAAAAACATCAATAATGCCAAGAATGCTGTCTCCATATCATCGATTAAAACTGCTCTGTCAAAGCTTATAAACTGGAAGACATTTTCATGAAGTTTAGTCGTGTTAACAGAGAGTTCTACCTCTTTAAAGATATGAGCGACTGCAAAGGAAATTGCTGCAAAGATCTGAGCCAGTTCAATCCAATTCAGAAATCGGCGGAAGTAGTGTTTTAGTTTTTGAATCATCTCTTTGGTTTCTTTGAAGACAAAGTAAACAATAAACAACATGAACAATATCTGACAAACAAGATGAGCAACACTGTAGCCAGCTCCAATGTTGTACACGTGAAGGGGGTGAATCACGTGACCAGAAGCCACATAGCCAGATGGTGAGAACTCCACCGGGATCCAAACTGCACTAAACAGACTGACATGAGGGTTGAAAATTGCAAATTCAATCAATAGAGTACTAGTGTACTTGTCAAACCAGTTAAAGATGTTCAGCTCAGAAATGACTTTCGTGGCAGACTTTCTGTCGTAACCCAGTTCTGCTAGGTAACCACCCTGACTGTAGAGAGGATAAAGTCTTCCCCAGAAAGGAAGGCTTTCGGTTTGCTCTGCTGTAGAGTAACGCCAGGGCCTGGGGCAGACCTTGTTCAATGTGTCAGCTGAGGTATTCTGTGACAATGAAAGTGGAAGCCATCTTGGCTGATATAACTCCGTTTTATCTTCAGCTTCTAGTGAGTATGACCCGATGCAAGAGTTGAAAATAGATTTCGCTTCCTTAACGACTTGACATGAATCTAAAAGGTGAAAATTAAAAATTAAATCTTAAACGGTGCACAGTATTTTTAAACCTTCAAAAAAACTTTGGTTTGCACAGCCAAATGTTGAAAAAAGGAAAAACTCAAGCAAAAGGAAAAACTCATCGCAAAGAGTCTAAAGCGTACGTTTCGAGTGTTACTGAGCCCTTTGTCAGACTCTTTCGCTCTGGCCAAAAAGGCTGACGCTCCAAAAATCAGCTTAAGAAACTCTTTTGGGTAAAAAGAAAATGTAAACTCAATTTATATTCATTTGATGTTCTCTTGAGTGACCAATTTACATTATCAATTCAGTTGACGAACTAAATCATCTTGTCATGCCCCTTACAGACCAGCACTACAGTTTCTTTAGAAACGTATGCCTCTTATTCATTTATTTTCGACAGAGTAGACTATTTAGTAAAAGCAATTTGTTAATATTTACTACCACTTATATCTGTTGAAAAATATAAATGTTCGCACCTTTTTTCACTCTTAGCTGTCTGAGGCGGGGCATCCCAACAAGGACTGCATCACCGTCTCCAGTGAACGGAGTAGAATTTGAAAACGACAAGTCCTTTCCATCCTGGTAAATTCCTGGAAATAGAACGTCTTGAATCCACTGCCATAAGTTCCCGTGAGAAGAGATCTAACGGAGAAATGCAGCGTAAAAGAAAATCAGAATTTACTGAGATAACTGGAAATGCAAGGAAAATCAATATATTAAGAGCGCGTTTATATCAGTTACCAGAAACTCTTACCCTCCCCCGTCAGGACAAAGATGATGTGAGTTGACAGGGACTCAATTTTTACCATACTTACCCTATAACTTAAAATGTAAGTAAGTTGCCAATAGTATACTAGGTGAATGAAAGGAGCCTTAGTACTTAACACCATAGCATCAGTTTGCATATTCTCTAGACTGTTCTCTATAAATTTCCTGAGGTACTAACAAGGAGACTTTGTTTAACTATCATGAGCTCCTTTACTCAATGATCATTTCCTCCCGTGACCTGAATATGGAAATCAAAGGTAATTTTGTAAGGAGAAATTAGATTGCTCTTTACTCGTAGGGGTTTAAGGGTTGAACATACCTCAATTACCTCTCCAAATGTTTGCACTAGTGATAATTTCAAAGAATAACTGTACTGACTCCGACCTCCATAACAAATGATCATCAGTATCAAAAGGTATAGAAAATAGCAGACTATCTTCTGTATCGCCTTGTACATACGCAGCTCTCTCATTCGATAGATCCTCGCACGGCGTAATTCTTTCTTGCTCAGGGGCTTTGGTAAGGCAATTTTTTCGTCGTTTTCATCTTCCTTTTGGCCATCAGCAAAGGTAACTTCATCAAAATGAAAGACTTTCTCGGGTGTTTGAGCAAGTTCGTCAGCATCCGACTGACAAAAGTATGACAAAAATGAAGCCACGACGACGATCTTTACAGGTTCGGTAACAAATATCTCCACAAACAAGGACATAAAAATGGAGATAAGCCATTCCTCGCTTGTTTCTTTACCCCATTGTAAACTATATAGAATAATAAAAGTTGCTGATGCAGCTGAAGAGATGAAACACAGGAACCAGGCCAAGTAAACAAAGCAATACGGTAAGGTCATCCGATGACCTCTTTGGTATCGATGTTTCTCGGTGACCTTGTGGATGCTAAACCTTTCTCTGACCTTGTATCTTTGTTGACGTTGCCCTGGTGTGTCGACATTGGTCGCCACGTGACTGAAGATTCCTACTATTATCAAATTTGCAGGAAAAACTACAACAATGCTCTCCATTGCAATAATTAGTTGTCGCAAATTTAGGACCAGAGGGCCCAACCTAAATGTGCGCTGTTGCTGAGCGTTCCCAGGAACAAACTGATAAAACATGGCACTGGCCAACATTGTAGTCAACAGAAGTGACAGGCAGCACGACAAGCGCTGCACGCGAGTGAAGCGTCTACTTGGTGGTCTGGTTGCGATAGAAAACCACAGATGCCCATCACCGAGTTTTTCGGCCAGCGTATTCCGGCAGGATTCCCAGAAATTCTTTCGCTTCCCGGCAGTTGAATCAGCAGCAAGAGTGCGATCTATTAGTCCATCGGCCTTCTCAACAGCCAACCACTTGTGGCAAGTAAAATTCTTAAGCTCCTGACTGAACGCGTCATAAATCTTGATTGTGTTTAGGTACCAAGAGGGGCTTTCACCAGAGTTGTCATGCCACACGCGCACTCTCCGTAAGGGGCCAACATTATTGGGAATGGAGAGGGTGAAACACGTTAAGCTTCCCCTTGCAAATGGAATGAAGGAGCCCCTCTTTAAATGATAAGGCCGACTGGATCCCAGCTCGCCCTCAAGCACTAAATACACCTTAGCACTGGTTCCAGAATTCGACCAAATGCCTGTGGATATCTCAATCTCGTATCGACAACACCAGGGCGATAAAGATCCCAAAAATGGTTTATCACCGATCTGCAATAGACGAAAAAGTAAACGCAAATATGATAATAATAGACATGTTTTCATTTTAATAGGATCAAAATCAACAGAAAAAATTTGTAGAATAACGCCATAGTCTTCTCCTTAGAATTTAACTGACCTTCAAAGCATCCTTCTGGTCAGCCTTTCGAACCCACAGTATAAGCATTAAGTAAAGTCCGAACACACAGCTCACTGTTATTATAACAGCTACGTTTCCAGTCTCTGGGATGTGTTGTAATTCAATAAATACTTTGTCAAAATCGATGGGGTTTGGTGCCACAAACAATTCACCTCCAAATGCAGTCAAATGGTTGCAGTGGCAGTGAATCATGTCCATGGTTGTAGTTTCAGCCACCTGTTAATCATGCACGCTATCGTCAGTGAGAGAGCTCTAAATTTTATATATGAAGTTAGGACTACACTTGATTTTCTGAAGTGAATGGTTAGATTATATTGACGCTGATCAAAAAGGTTCACTTACCTCACATCCATCATAAGTCCACTCAGAAATTGCATTATTCCAATAGAGACAAGCAGCTGGCATCACTTGTATGGTGTAATTTTCATTACCTTTACTGAATTGAGGGTCATTGGGGGATTGCCCTGGTTTAGTATCATCTGCTGCAGGGACTTCCTTATATTGCACACATGTGCGTTTGGACCGTCCTTGCCCCGAGCACCGCCTCTTCCTAGAGAAACTCTTTGACTTAAATTGTATTCCAATGAAGTAAACACCTGTCTTTTTGATGACCTTACTGTTTACAAATACCTCGAATGGATCACTTGAGCAGTTGACATAGGAACCAGATGGCGTCTGAGCGCAGGATGAGAAGTTAGGGATGGTTGCGTTTATATCACTGTTATTAGCAGAGGGTCGCTTTCCAAACTTAAGAGTCACAAACAATTCTGTTTTGTTTTCATCAGGACGAATCTTCAGTATCAGAGCTATCCCCAGATGGGTGACATTTATCTTGTGGAACACAGTCTTACGGGTACCAATGGAGTGTGATCGAGAAGTGTTAATTAAGTGTTGATTATTGCGCAGTTTGATAATCATCGGCGTTGTCAGTTCTGACATATTCAGAAGATGCCCAGAGCTGTTCTTTAGCTCAAGACTGGAAATTCCAGTTGTCAATCTCGCCGCTGAAGGGTGCCAAGAGTAAGATACAAAACTCGTTGTAATCATCTGAAATACAAACGCAATTAGGAAATGTGGCCCTGCTTATTTATCTTCTCCACCTACAGTAGACTTCCCGAGCTCTTCTTTAGGCAGACGAGACCACTCAAGACATCTTAAAATTAATGGAAATTGCATGTGAAATATAAGGCTAATGAGGTATTAATAGGCGTTAAGTTCACTATGATCTTCCAATGGTACGACAACGTAAGGTAAACATTGTGTTTATTATAACGTTAATTAATGAACATAATAAGGAGCCGGCTTTTGTTGATTCTTTCCTAAACACAATTATGCATTAATTCAGTTTGTGTGTTGGCATTAATTCATAGTATGTTGAGCGTGAAGCAGGCCAAGAAACTGACTGATTGCGACATTCAGAAAACTGATCAGAGGCGGAACAGTTAACGTCAATTCCATACCTGGCTATCCAAAAACCGTGTACCATTGCCAAACAGGTTTAAATCTGAAGGAAGCGCGAAGCTGTAGCCTTGGTTGGACAAAACTGACCCTGACAAAAAGTAAGGTTCCTCTCGAAATACAAGCAGAAACACCCAACGGGATGAAAGCTCTCTAGGTTTCTCTCCGACAAGGATTCGGGACAAGATCGTACTTCCGACATCGTCCAGCGACCTTAAAAGGTCCAGAGCTCGAGCTTTTGACTGCAAGGTAAAGTTATAAGTCTTAATGGAAACCAGACGAGGCTAAGCCTATGGCTGAAACCAAGTTGGATTAACAAGACTAATTATCATGAACATTAAATAAGAAATGGTGATACAATTTAGGAAGTGATTTAACCTAAGAGATAGCTCTCACTTTATGAATAGACCGATTGGTGGATAAAGTTCCGCTAAATCGGTTCTAAGCTGATTGCAAGGAACGAGAGCATTAACTCGGTTTAGCATCAACCTCCTCAAACCCTAACAAAAATTCACGATGTCACGACTTCCCGCTTTTTTTCAGCAAGCGGGACCTCATTGCTCCTCAAGATATGGAGGAAACTATAAGAAACGTCACGTTGTTGTACCTCGTTCTTCGCTTGTTGCAGCTCAGCTGCAGCATCTCGCTTTGAACTTGGTTGGACAGCAGGGTCTAGAGAACGAATGCTTCTTCGTTGACGGTGTACATTTTCAGAATCTGACTGGTGAGTGTTGCGTGCCTCGTACTCTCTAGCCCTGTAAGAAAACACCTTGAGCATGCTACCGAGCCCAGCGGCAAGACTCTTCGCACCGTCCAGAAGCTCTTCGTAGCTTTTATCTGCAGAAGACTCCTCTTTCAAAACTTTAGTCATCGACTGAAGGGCATCTGCTGCTGCTATCTGAAAGTTTATCAACTTATCAGCGTGCATTCAGGCGTCACAAAGTGTCATTTGAGGAGAAAATACAAATTCGACTTTACCCTTTTTTCTTCAAAGGTGATGGATCGGAAAAGATTGACTACAAAGCTCGTTAGCCTTTCCCTTCAAACTAAGGAGGTTTATAACTGCAAATGTATATTTACAAAAATTCAGTAAGCTACATATACCTGTGCCTCTACGGTAACTTCGTTGACAATCGAGACGGCCTCGGCTATAACATTTGATGTCTGCTGTATTCTTTCCACAGTCTCCACTTGTACAGCAGACAACTGCTTGACAATCCGTGATTTCACCTGTAAAAAAAATGACGTCCATAAATGCAACCTGTTGTCAAGAAAGGTTAGTTATGATCAGCATCTACAACTCAGTATTATAATTCCATGTAAATATCCTCTTTATCTATAAACTATAAACTGCTAATGAATTTGATATTTTAATGAATTTCAATAGTGCAATTTTGCAAGTTTTTTCTCAGTGTTTAAGAAAAATTAAATATGTAATAGAGATAATACCATCCTAATCAACGTATTAAGGACCAACACTGTTCATATAAGACGGAGAACCTTTCCCCCTCCCGAGCAGTGGAGAATGCTGAAAGTGAGCAATTTGATTTTATTTGTTGTGCACTCACCGCTTTTCTCGATTCTTTGAGCTTATCCTTAGGAATTCTCTTATCATCATCGACAGCCATAATGGCCGCTTTGGCCAGCTGAACAGCCTGTGACACGTCACCTGACTGAAGTAATTTATTCAACTGACTCTGGTTTCCAGTTGTCAACTGAACAGCGCGTTCTAACAGCTTGACCGCGTTTATCTGATGCTGTAGTACCTGGTATTAGATAAGAGGCAAAGCAAAAGAGAATCATTTCAATAAAGAATCTTCAAAAGAAATTTGCAGAAGCGGCACGTTTTTAATGAATTTTTGTCCATACTTTACGGGATCACCGAGGGAGCCCGCACTACAGTTGATTCCGAGATGGACAGGGGCAGGGGCTGTCATGAGTGCTTTCTACAAGCGTGTCTTTCCGAAAATTCTAGCTAAGAAGGCGGCCACACATTTCGTAAAGGGGTACTGAGCATTGGTCAGAATTTACACGTCTCAATTTCATTGATATAGAAAAGTAACCTTCAAACTTTCCTTCCTGCCGAATAAAGCGGCTCTGTATAACTTTCTCTAAATGCTCCCCTTTCATACCTGAACAGGAGTCCTCACTTCAGTGAAGGCTCCGAACATGTTAGCCACTCGTACACGAAAGTCGATTGTAAAGTTGTTTATTTTTTTTCCAGCGGGAAGCTTTGTCTTCTTTCTGCTTTCCATCCCTTTGTGTACAACATTGGGAAAATCGTCATCGGTGAAATAAAGGAAGGAATACTGCAAGGGACGATCTGGATCTTCCCAACCACTGCACTCAAAAATGAAGGTGGTCTCCAGCGTTCTTCCAGACAAAGGGGTGACGTCACATTTTCCCTCCGTGGGGGAGCCATAAGTGGCGAACTGGTACTCTGAGAAACCCGGATGCCCTCCGCGGCGTTTAGCAGTCAGTACGACTTTGTAAATCTTATTAAATCTCAGCACCACAGGCTTTATGACGATTCTCGGCGAGTTCAATCGTGTACGAATTTTTTCTTGTAAATCACTGACCTGAATCCATTTAGACTCATTCGCTACTACTGCCTCAAAGAGAGTCCATTGGTAGGAGAGGCCTCTTTCGCAGTCAACCTTCTCACACAGTCGCTCAAGCGCTAAACGACGAGAAGGATTCGCTTTTGAGTCACAGTTATCTACACATCTTGGATACAAAAAAATGAATTCATTTAAAAGGACACAGAACAAAGATATGTCTTGTAAAATTTACCAATTTTGAAATATTTCTCTACGGGCATGTTTTGAGTTAATCTACTTAAGAAAATGTACAGCTCTTTCACGCTCTGTCCATGATTTCGGGCCAGCATGTTTTTCTGTGTTTGTGGTAATTTATAAGTCTTCATTTGCGCGGGACAAAATACAATACTCGGCCCGCAAGAAAAGCCATCAGTTACAAATTTTGCATTTTAAGTGTTGCAAGTGCTAGCACGCATTTGCTGTTCAAAAAATGTCAAATCATTTCTCTAAAGGTTGTGATCAGTTTTTGACATATGAGTTTACTATAGGACCAATACATAATATTAGATGTACCTTGAGGTTTATGTACCTGTAGCTCAAAACCGACTTTAATTTGGTACGGTTCATTTTTCTTTAAAGTATACAAAGTCTATCCCGTAGGCTCAGAGCCCCCTTAAATCATCGAAAAAAGAAACTTTGTTAATCCTGTTTTTTTATGTGTTCTATCATCGTACCTTATTTCGACTTCTGAAGGATCACCAGGAGAAATAACCACTTCCTGTGTGAAATACGCTTTTCTCGGATGCTTCTCGACCACAACTGTTATGAAATACGAATAATTCTCTGTCATATACCCACTGTCGATAATAACGATAGAATCGTTGCCGCCTATGTTGCCCGCTCCAGTCCCGTAACATCCTCCACGGTCGAGATTTTCAGCTGAAGGACTTGGCAGGGCCACAGGCATTTGAAGTAAATCGTCGGAAAATTTTTGTGAAGAATCTCTGCATATCCATGTAAATCGAAGACCTAAAATAAAATGCAGTGTAGGAGAGCCAAACTATTTAGCATTAATCATCAACCAAATCTCATGTTCGATGAGATGAGAAAGGTCGCAGTGTGTGAAGACGTCTATGGTCTTGAGACAACTCTTTCTAAAGACTACTCACCTAAATTTTTCACTTACTTCTTTGAAAATTCCGTTTGAAACGAAAGAATAAACAGCATCAAACTAGAAAAGTTACCAGCAGGGGAAAAGAAACCCTACGAGATGGAACTGAGAGAAAGAAAAATACTCAACAAAGGAAAAGAAGGAACGTATGCCCGATCGTAGACTACAAATCGTCTGTTGGCAAGATATTTTTCCATAATCTGTGGGGGCTCTGTTTATGATAAGCGTAAATTTTAGAATGGGTAAGATTGCCGCTGCCCCGGTAAATTAAGAAAAGCAAAGTAGTCAACTTACCGTGAGGAGGATGGAAGGAATCGGGGTCACGTGAGAAGGAGGCATTGAACACCAAAGTTTTGTTAAACCCTCTCTCCACTTTCGTTCCTCCGGCTATATGCGCAACTAATGGACTCTCAATTACTCGAATGTAGCCCTCACTGAAACCAAACACTTGCGTTCCCGCCATTTTTACGGTCAGTCGCACCACATAGATACCCATTAGTAGCTTGCCTCGTCTTATGAGAAATTTTGAAGATCCACCATATTTTGAGAGAACTGGGTGTTCACGTGATTGCGAATGCAGATCGTACACATCCCATTTAAATACTGTTTCGGAGGAAAGATCACAATCAAGTATGACCTCTGAAGAGATTATTAGGCGATTGGCTCGACGCACAGTTAAGGAGGACGTTACATTTGATGACAAACTTGACAGCTTAACAGTCGGACTTCGACATGAACGCTCTGGGGAACAAAGATTGAAAAGTCTTAGATTCTGGCGCTTTGAAGAAACAATAAATTCTGAATTCAGAATCGGAAAGTTGTTTTTATATCCTTACCAGCAAGATAGGTATCACAGAATCTTCCGACAAACTGTTTTTTGCAGACACAAGGCTTACTCGTATTTCTGTAGGATTCAGACGTCAGTATACATGTCCCTCCATTTGAGCAAATTACACCTTCACATGAGTCAACTTAAAAATTAAAGAACATTATAGATGAGATTGGTGGATAAAAACAAAACGATAGATGTATAGGATAAGATGAAGAAGTCAGTCAATGAATACATAAAGAGAGGTGAGCTAGCTATGTCTTTTTATCTGCAAATCACTCAACCCTTCTGGATTTTATCACCTGTCCCCTTCCATCAAATCTACTGAGTTGACAAGAGTACAACCATCCTTTGAAATTTTAAGCCATGTGATCGAGAAGTAAATTTTTAGTATTGCTAAAGGACGTGCTGGAGCTTTACTTACACATTTTTGTCCTCACTTCGATTGGCTCCGAGAAATTTCCAGAACCAACCCTTGTGAAAGCAGCTACTCGGATTGAGTAACAAGTGTCAAAGTCCAATCCAGAGAGAACAGCAGTATTCTCAGAATAAATTGATTCATCAGCCATAGACATAGAATTCCTGGAATTCTTTACACTGTATACCAGCCTGTATCCTTTGATTACACCATTCTCATAGCCCATAGGGACTGGTTTCCATTCCACGACGATGAACCAAGAGCCACTACGAACCAAACTTAAATTCCTCGGGGGTGCACTGGGCACTAGAGAAATGCATATAATGCACGTGGGTGTTACCATAAATTATATAGATCTACACAAAATATCAGTATCTATCTTTTGCCCTCGGAT